GTGACGCCACCTAGGCTTTTATTATATAGGAGATGGTACTGAAAGTTCTAGCCATGGCAATCAAACAAGAAGAAATAAAAGGCAAATAAATCGAAAGGAGGAAGTAAAACTCTCATTATTCACAGATGACATGATACTGTACATAGAAATCCCTGAAGACTATACCAATAACCTACCAGAACTAATAAATGAATTCAGCAAAATTAATAACCAGAAATCGGTGGTATTTCTATACACCAACAATGAGCTATAAGAAAGAGAAACTAAGAAAACAATTCCATTTACTATTGCAACAACAAAAAAATAATGTACCTAGCAATAAATTTAACCAAGGAGGTTAAATACCTGTACTCGGAAAATATAAGTAAGGGGAAGCATATACCATGTATATGGATTTGAAGAATTAACATCATTAGCATGTCTATACTATCCAAAGCAAGCTATAGATTTAACGCAATTCCTATTAAAATACCAATGGCATATTTCACAGATCTAGAACAAATATTCAAAAATTTATATGAAACCAAAAAGACTCAGCAATTTATATGAAACCAGAAAGACTCTTTCTTTAGCCTCAGCAATCTGAAGAAAGAAGAACAAAGTTGGATACAATACCTGATATCAATCTATACTACAGGCCATTGCAATCCAAACAGTCCGGTACTGGCATAAGAATAGGCGCATACATCAATAGAACAGAACAGAGAGCCCAGAAATCAACTGACACCTAAATGGTCAATTAATATTTGACAAAGGAGGCAAGAACATACAACGGAATAAAGGTAGTCTCTTCAACATATAGAGTTGAGAAAATTGGATAGGTACATGCAAAAAAAAAAATGAAAGGAGACCATCAACTTACAAACTCAAAATGGATACAGACTTAAATGTAAGTCACAAAACCATAAAAATCCTAAAAGAAAACACATGCAGTAAAATATCAGACATCTCTTGTAGTAATATTTTTATTGATATGCCTTCAGGGCAAGGGCAATAAAAGAAAAAATAAACAAATGGGACTCCATCAAACTAAAAAGTTTCTGTACAGCAAAAGAAGCTGCCAGCAAAATGAAAAGGGAACCCACTATATGGGAGAACATATTTTCCAATGATACATCTGGTAAGAAGTTAATACCCAAAATATATAAAGACTTATACACCAGTAAGACAAATAATCCAATTAAAAACGGGCAAAAGACCTGAATAGATAGTTCTCCAAAGAGGACAGATGGCCAATAGACATATGAAAAAATGCTCCACATTACTAACGTCAGAGAGATGCAAATTAAAACCACAATGAGGTATCATCTCACACCTGCAATAATGGCTACCATCAATAAATCAACAAACAAGTACTGGTGAGGATGTGAAGACAAGGGAACCCTAGTGCAATGTTGGTAGGAATGCAGACTGGTGCAGCCACTGTAGAAAACAGTGGAGATTTGTTCCCTCAAAAAATTTTAAATGGAACTATCTTTTGACCCAGCTATCCCACTTCTGGGGAACATATCCCAAGAATCCCCAAACACCAACTCAAAAGAATATATGCACCCCTATGTTCATAGCAGCATTATTTGTAACTAGAGGCATGGTGCACAGATTCCCACAGCCTGGTCTGCGCCCTCTCGCAATTCAGGACCCCTCGGGGATGTCGGAGAGCCGGTTACGGCCCAATCCCCACAGGCCAGGCTGAGGGACCCCACTGGTGCACGAATCTGTGCACCGGGCCTCTAATATACATATAAGATCTTTGGTTAATCACTTCCCACCCTCCCACTTGCTCTCTTCCCTCTGAGATTCATCAGTCTGTTCCAGTTTTCCATGCCTGTGGTTTCTGCTCCTGCATTGAGCATCTGCCCCCTGATGGTCAGTGCATGTCATAGTTGGTCAGCCGGTAGGCCAGTCACTTAGGCTTTTATAGAGAGAGAGCCAAGATCTGGAAACAGCCCAAGTGTCAATTAGTAAATGAGTGGATATGAAAGCTGTGGTACATTGTACCATGATGTGGTACAATGGAATACTATGTGGCCATAATAAAAGAAGGAAACCTTATATTTTCTGACAGCATGGATGGACCTGGAGATTATTATGCTAAGTTAAATAAGCCAGTTAGAGAAAGATAAATACCATATGATCTTACTTATATGTAGAATCTAATGAACAAAATAAACTGACAAACAAAAAAGAAATAGAGACATAGATATATGGAACAGTGAGGACAGATGTCAGAGGGGTCGGGGGAAAGGGGGTTTATATGAAAGAAGGTGAAGGGATTAGCCAAGCAAAATATATGCATAACCCACAGACAAAGATAACACTGTGATGATGGCCAGAGGGAAGGGGTGGGGTGGGGGCTGGGTAGATGGGGGCAAAGGGAGGGAAAATGGGGACACATGTAATAGTATCAAACATAAAATTATTTTTTTAATCCCCATGTATTTAATACATGTTCATTGATTTTTTAGAGAGATGGGAAGGGGGAGGAGGGAGTGGAAAAGAGAAGGGTGAGAGGGAGAGTGAAACATTGATGTGAAAGTGAAACATCCATGGGTTTCTTCCTATGGATGGGATCGAATCCACAACCTAGGTATGTGCCCTGACCAGGAATCAAACCTGCGGCCTTTAAGTGCATGGGAGGATGCTCCAACCAATTGAGCCACACTGGCCAGGGCGACAATAAAATTATTTTTAATTAAAAAATATTTTTAAAAACCAGACATTTCAACTTCCAATGTACAGGAAATCAAGGCAGAGAACAACTGTGGCAGTTTCAATATGAATCTGGTTTTATATACTACTGAGTCATTTTCATTTTTCTTAGATATGACCAATAGGAGAATAAGGAGATTATTCTCATTCTTAGAGCATGCTCAAATATTTAGACGTAAAGTGCCATGTCTGTAACTTTAATGGCTCAGCAAAACAAAACCCATGAATATATATACATTCATATCATTCTGTAAGTAGACAAATGGCGAATGTAAAAAAATGTCAACCATCACGGAACATAGGTGGTGAGCACATGGGTATTTACTGTTCCATTTTTATTTTTCTCTATGTCTGAAAACTTTACCAATAATAGCTGCATATACACACAATGCTGTGGGGACTTTGGTTCATTTAAGACAAGCAACAGCATTTGCAGGATTTTGTATTATAATGATCACAATCCCAAAGAAAAGAAAATAATGTGTTCATAGCAAGGTCTATTTTCAAAATGTTAAAATCTCATGATGTTAAGGAAACTTGAGAAGAAAAAGGACTGGCATCTTAAATTGCCCACATAGCGAAGCTGCTATAGCCCAACCTTGTCCCTCTCATATCCACAAAAAAACAGTAACAAACACTAAAAACCTCCCATGGTCCTCAAATTTAAGAAAACTGCTGCAGCCTTCTTAGCCATTATATTCTGCAGGCAACGAGTAGGCCTGTTTTAAGATAAATCTTAGCTCAGATTCATCTCTTTTTTATAGGTACCTATTTCCCTATCTGTAAAACAAAAGGAGAGTGACCACTGACCCTAAATTGCACATACATTTGGGCCACTACAGGAGCTGCAGTGCTAGACTCACACCAGGGTTCCTCTAGACATCACAGATCATGTTAGCTGGACAAAAGATATGGGGGCAGAACACAGTCCAGTGACTGGGACACAGGGAGCCTTAATGACAGTATGAGAAATAACAGCATCATTGTCCATCTGAGAATGCACTTGCCCCAGCGACTCCTCACACCAGGCATTGTCACTCCCATTATACAGATGGCACATGGAAGCTGAGAAAAGTGGGACAATTTTCCTAAACATTCTTAATGTGTCACACACAGCAGAGGCAAGATGTGAACCCAACAAAGGACCTACATATCCTCTTGGGGCTCACATCAACTTGGCACCACTTCTGCACACCTGCCCTAGCTGGCACACTCTACCCACCCAGGATACAACCAGGGCCCTGTTTCTGCCCTTGCCACCAAACAGTTCAATGTCCACACAATAGCCAAAAGGAGCCTATTAAAACCCAAGTCAGCTCATGACCCTCCAATAATCCCACCTTACTCCCAAAGACTATATATAAAAGCCTAAGCAACTGAACGACCGGTTGCTATGATGCACACTGACCACCAGGGGGCAGACGCTCAACGTAGGAGCTGCTCCCTGGTGGTCAGTGCGCTCCCACAGCCAGCCTCTTGTGGCTGGCCAACCTCCCGCGGTCCCTCCTGCTGGCCAGCCCTGATCTCGCCGGCCAGGCCAAGGGACCCCACCCGTGCACGAATTCATGCACCGAGCCTCTAGTGTTCCTATAACAATCTACCAGGCTCCACCATCACTTCATCTTCTCCCACTCCTCCCCCCTCTCCCCCCGCCCCCCGCACCTTACACAATCCTTTCCAGCCACACTGGTCTCCTTGCTGTTCCCCTAATACACACAAAGCATGCTCCAACCTCTGTGCTAGCTCTTACCTCTGCCTGGAATACTCTTCCTCTAGACCAGTGGTTCTCAACCTTGGCTGCACATTAGAATCACCTGGGAATCTTTTTAAAATCCTGATTGCTGGGCCTCATCCTCCGGAAATTCTGTTTCTTTGTTAGGGGTGGGGCCACAACATTAGTAACAAAGAAACAGAATTTCCGGAGGATGAGGCCCAGAAATCAGGATTTTAAAGATTCCCAGGCGATTCTAATGTGCAGCCAAGGTTGAGAACCACTGCTCTAGACAGACATGCCACTCACTCCCCAACTTCCTTTGGGTAAATATTAAAGTGTCATTTTGTCAGAGGCCTTTTCTGACCACCCTCTCTAAAAGCAGCAAGTCTGCTCCCCATGCCCTCTAGCCCTGTTTATAATCTCTCCACAGTGCTTCTAACTACCTTCATGCTACTAGTCTTATCACTCAGGTAAGCCCCCTGCCCCGCCAGGTTACGTCTTTATCTATTTAGCTCACTGGCCACATCCCTATTGCCTGGCTTGTTGCTGTTCTCACTAAATATCTACTGTAGGAAGGAAGGGTCCTGTGCAGCCCAGCCCAAATAGCTATAGTCTGTCCACCTGAAGAGAGCCTGGGGAAAGCCATCTTCGGGGTGTACCTTCCTCCAGACATCAGATCATCATCCAAGAAACACCCAGCAGGAAAGTGGATGGAATTAAACAGAGAGAAGGGAAACAGGCTGAAGAAAAGCAAGGCGTGGGAGGGGGGTGCAGGCAAGTGGCCACACCTGCCCGGGGAGCTCAGCTGCCCTCCAATTGGAGCTCCTGAGGAAATGGGGTTGAGGGGACCTTGGTTTTTCTGTCAGAAGCCAGGCTTCTGACAAATCTGATCCCAAGGACATGATGTCAACTACTATTTAAGAGGATAAAAAAAGAATGCCTTCAATCCACTTGAGGTTGCTCTGACAATGGGAGGCACGTGGCAGCTGATGTGAGTAACAGGGATATAAGCCTAGCTCTGTGTCAGGACAACTCAACAATCAAGATGACAAAGCTACTGGAGGCAAGGAGAGAGGAGCGAGAATCCACTTGATCCTCAAAGCACATATGTGGCAGGTTATATTTCCACCTCCTCCCGTCCACCTCAATATAGCATGATAGCATGCTATTAGGAGGTGCTTGGCTGGTTGACAGTCAAGTTTTCATTTTCCCTTCTGGCACCACAAAAAGGTGTCACAAGCCTTTCTTTGAGGCTATACTCATGCTATGTTCTGCTAGAAGGCACCAGAAGAAACCTTGAGACCGACATCAAGGCTACTACTGACAGCCATCAGGTAGGTAATCAAAAGGAGACACAGAAATTGGATATGGGATTGGGGTGCAGCGGGGGAGGGGGGCACACAAGGGACTTCCACCACTTGGGAGTTGAAAAACAGAAATCTGTAACAGGAAACAATAATTAAGGCAGCCAGGCAGAGAAAAGCAGATATGAAAACTAGGGGTATATCATGAGAAACCCTTCTCCCTTCTTAAGGCCCAGAGGGCTTCCTGCCTTCGAAGACCTTTGGACTTTTATGATAATCTCACTGCCCCCCCTCCCTGCCAATCATGTTCCCACAAGATGGATCTGTTCCCAATGGCTTAAAAGCTTTAACTACTACAGATGAAATCTCAAAGTGCTTACCCATTCCTCTCACGCCCCCACAGGTCTTAAACAGGTTCTTCCTGGGAAGCTGGTGGCAAAGACTCAGGGGAACAAAGCCACCCACCTGAGAACAACCTATTCTGTGAGCATGAGACAGAGCTGACTTCTCACTAAGGTGCCTTCGTAGGGCTTATAAAAAATGAAATAAAAAGAAACCTTTTGTTCTAATGCATGCCAGGGTCCTGCTGCTGCTCTGGGAATGTGTGGGTGGGTGCCACCCTCAAGGAAAAACATAGACTTTGAGAAGAGGCACTGGGAGCCCTGATGGTGTTCTAGGTCCCACGACCATCTGTTCTCTTAGAGAAAGGCTCCAGGCATGCTGTGTGGGGACAATTCATCAAAAGGCACGGTGAAATGTGGTCCTGCCTACGTACTGGTGTCCAGTTCTGCCACAGCACCAGCAGACGGGTAGGATTAATGTAGTAGCCAATTACCTGAATGTGGCTACTTTCAAACTGGGGGGTGAGGGGAGGGGCGCAGAAGTCACTGCATCCCCCGAGCTCGTCTCTGCCCAGTTGGCTGTAGGAAGTGAATGAGCTGCCCACTCACCCCAACACTGTAACAGGCAATGGTCACTCTTCTCACCCCGCTGATCACAAATAACCATACAGACAAGCTTTCCTCCGCCAACCGCCTCCCTAGGCTCAGGTGCTGATTGTGGCTTACAAATACAGTCATTTAAAATGTCAAAACCACCTTCCAGTTTCCTTCACAGGCATCAGGCTGTTCCTTACAAAGCTGGGTTTCAATGCCTCTTCTTCCACAGTCTTTTAAAGGGTTCTAGTCCTTAGCATGTCCACCCACAGAGAAGGGCCAGTGAAATAAGAGCACACTGGAGGGGGGTGTTAAATGCCTTTTCCCCTTCAACAGAGGGCTGCCCCCATGGTCTGGGAGAGAAGGTAAAGCTTGGAAGGGTAGACCTGAGCAACTCAGAGCTGCCTACAGCAGCGGTTCTCAACCTTCTGGCCCTTTACATGGTTCCTCATGTTGTGACCCAACCATAAAATTATTTTCGTTGCTACTTCATAACTGTAATGTTGCTACTGTTATGAATCGTAATGTAAATATCTGATATGCAGGATGGTCTTAGGCGCCCCCTGTGAAAGGGTCGTTCGACCGGCAAAGGGGGCGCGACCCACAGGTTGAGAACCCCTGGCTACATCCTACCACCCAGGCGAAGTAACAGAAGAGAAAGGAGAGGAGAAAAAAACAGAGGAAGGAAGGGGAACAGAGGAAGGATGGGAAGGGGGAGGAAGGGGGGGGAGGAAGGGGAAGGTGTACGGGCATGGAGTCCAAGAGGGTCTCCAGGTGCTGGGCGCGGGTGCGAACTCCGGCCGAGGGTCCACAATTCCCTTTGGCTTACATTGCTGTTTGTGACCCTAACTGGGCCCGTTTCCTTATTTTAAGAAGGAGATGAGAAAAGTCACCTCGTAGGGCGGGGGGACTAAATGACATACGCGTTCTGTCAGCCTGGGCCATCAACGCCACGGGAGCTGGGATGTGTCAGTGCCTCCGAAGTATAAAGAGGTGAGAGACCGTGCAGATGTGGTGTCTCCGCGGCCAGGCCGGGCCACAGCAGGGACTGGGGGGCCGGGACGTTCCTCCTCCCG